TAGTAGTAGTAGTAGTAGTACGGAAGGATTCCTGGAATCACATCAAATCCATATCGAAATGATAATATTAATTATCCCTGGCAATCGGAGTTTCCCAACACTAACACTCTGGAGCTCATAAAGCTACCTTTTTGTTGCTCGCCGCTATGCAAGATCAGCATATAGCTGCAAGTGTATAAGGTCGGGGAGTTGGTCACTACACCGCACCAAAGTGAAAATGACAGCAGGACAGCTGAGCAAACCCCGGACTCATAATCCGTGACAAAGGTGTTGCAGGCAGAGATCGCCCATTCTCGTGTTCTAACGGTGGCGAATCTCGCTTTAGGAAAGTCTGCTTGAGGACCGAGCATCAACGGACTGCTCATACGTGAAGCACAGGACATTGCCTGATGCTTGCGCCAACATCTGCTGCGCAAAGTAGCCACAACACGCTTGGGCTTCTTCTTCGCTTCACTTATACATACTCGACTACACGTCGATATAGTGATACGATGTGATACATAGCTGTTGCCCGCATTGGAGCGGCACCTTCATTACAGAGAACGAAGAGTTGGTTGTATGACAGGTGGATGTGATGAGAGTTCCTCCAAGACACCGGCCCATTCGAGCTTTGTGCTCAGAACTTGCAGTGACCAGTCGCACTGAAGCTTCCAAGCTTCAGTCCTTTGCGGGAACAGGATGGAAGCTTCCTTCCTCAGGCCTGCTCTGCGTTTTCCCGAGTGTTTCCTTGATGGATGGTTATCCCTCCAGGCTGGGTCTTTTACCGTGACTGGGCTGCCCGGCTACACTGGATATGTGTCCATCGCCGAGCTTCCCCCACCGAGCTGCAGACAGCGCCGATAGCGTGTGGATGGCAGTAAGATCGAGGCCTGGCAAAGTGGCCGAGAATGTGTATGGCTTGACTTTTCAGAACGCGAATGAGCGTTCTGCTGCAGAGGCTGCTGAGTCGTGTCGTGGTTCTCATGTCTATTGTTTGATATCCCCTGTGAAGCTTGCCTAGTTCAGGCAAAGATTCTGCGCAGCACTGGGCGTTTGCCCATGTCCTATGCAGGACGCACTTACGATGGCGGGCCACTTACTGGCAAGAAAACGCCCGGCATCGGCTTTGCGTTGACACCCACGTCTCTTGCTCGAATGGCTCGCCCCTGGCTTGCTCAGCTGCCAGGTCCTGCTCCTGGTGCTGAGGCAGTCGCCTTGCTGTCTCGCATGCAAAAAGGCACTGCTGCAACAACCTGGCAGATTCCGGGCTACACTGGCTTCATTCCTGGACGATATGCAGACAACGTCATGGGAACCACATTTGCGAAAGGCGTGTGGGCCTTGTTACGATTGTTGTACTGGCTGAGTCTCAGGATGACCGATTGGTTTTGAGAGAGATGGGGCAGTACTCAGGTGTAAGTAGCCTTTCAGTGGATCCGTTTTTGTGTTAACGCCAAGGCCGAACTCGCATTCATCGTCAAAAATCAGCAAATGGCAGATCGACTTCATCGAGTCCAGTGTTACCGCCAAACTCTTACACCGTCTGTTCGCCTCGGCCAGCAATCTCCCTGACAGTGTACCAAGGGCAGGGAGAGAGACCCGTCAGCCGGTCGCGGTGAGAGACAATCCGGCATCATTTCCATGACCGCCAGCCAAGTCAGTTCTTCTGCGCAATTCCTTGCTGTGGCCCCAAGCTGCCAGGAAGATAGCTTCGCTGTTTCTCCTACGTTATGAGCTAGAAGTTGTTTCACCCAGTTTCACCGTTTCAAAGCAGCATTGCCAGATCTGCAAGGATGCGGCAACAATCAATGCACCGCTATGCTGAGATCTGAATGCCGAGAGAGAGGGAATGTCGAAGCGGATGTCTCCTTGCACTCCTAAAACGCTTACATAAGCCCCCAAAGGGGGAGGGGAGGGGTCCGTGACTGTTGAAAAAGAGAGAGAGAGAGAGAGAGAGGGTGCGCGCTCGCGCGCAAGGGGGGGGCGGCCGCCTCCTTCCTTTATCCCCGTAGAGAGATAGAGAGAGAGAGAGAGAGAATGTTGTGAAGTTGCTAGTGCTTTGCAGTCGCATGTGGTGTATTGTATGTTGTGCCTTTGATCCCAACAGAGCAACAAAAGTTGTGAACAGCACAACACACTGCGGAAGGGAGCACAGAACCGGTGCCGACCCAATGATGAGGCCTGGGGGTGAATAGGTATTGTTGTAAAGGGGGATACGCGAGTTGACTTCCTACAGGCCTCATCATGCTAGAGTATCACACAGGATCCAAGACTCACAGTGCGCGCATGCGCGCGAGGGGTAGCGTCCGCTGCTCCTTTGGCTGTGTGGAAGAAGAGAGAGAGAAATAAAGATTATTGGGTGGGCCACTTTGGCCCGGGGACGCTGACCCGTCCCCATGCCCGGGAGAGAGAGAGAGAGAGAGCCATTTTGGCTCAAGTGCCGCACCTTTTGCTTGGAGGGTCTGTTCGCCCTAGGCGGGGGGTTAACCTGGACTGTTACTCCAGGGGAGCCTTCCCGTTTTCACCTGCGGTGCTTGAGACCAATCGCTGTTGCCACATTGCTCCAGTGGCCCAGTCCGTGCCTTAGGGACCCGCTCCATACTCGAGGAGGGGAAGTTCGTGATATCTTCTTCCCTGTGCGTGACCTGAAAACCCATGACAGAAATGATCCCCAATGCAGACTCCATGGAATCATTGGCAAAGCCGACGTGCCACCAGAACGTGTCCGCAGCAGGTGCCGGCAAAGTGGGGGGACACCGGCAACACAGTCACCCACACCACGCCGCGAACCTCCTGCAGCAGAAGGGGGAACACCAGACAGCCGACGAGGGGGATGCAAACCGGAGACATCCACCACTACATGTCGGCCGCTTGCTGAGATGACCGCCTTCGAGACTCGGAAAGGCCTTGTCCTGCTCTACGAACCAGAGCCACTTGATGAGCGGATTGGTAAAGAAGTACAAGAAGATGCCGAGAGACGGCTCAGAGACACAGAGACCAGGGGGACTCTTTCGCGAACGCGAGTGAGAGCACACAAAGCTTACCAAAGGCGACACCAAGAACGCAACGAGGAGGGGAGACGAGCTGACCAGCTGGTCCACATCATCGACAAGTACTTGCCCAAACAAGCAGAGGAAACAAGAATATACGTGGGACGCTTTCCCAACCACGTCAGAAAGCTCCTGTACAAGGCAAGGCGCATCCGCAACAAGATGCGCAAGAGACGTGGGAGGGGAAGAAGCAGCTCCGAGAGCAACACCACCGTCAACCTCGAGGAGACCAGCACAACCTGAAAAAGACGTGAGGGATGCGACCCATAATGCCGCACAGACAGGGGGGAACCCCAGGCAAGCATCCTCGGCACAGGGAACGCATGCGGCAACGGAACGCAGTGATGCACATGAGCATCATGAGAGAAGAGCACAGCCAACCACGGACGAAGAGAGCCCTCCAGACTGGGGGGAAGCAGTGAGGCTGAAGAACAGGGGAGCCAGACCCCAACACTCGAAAACTGGCCATGGGGAGCACAAGGACGACCTTGCGTGCGACCATGCTCGCAGCTCGGGCGTACTTGCCCAGCACCCCAACGAACCAGCGGGGGAACCTCGAAACCGCCGAAGTCAAGGTGAAGGACGGGAGTGCAGTTAGTCCCGAACAGCATGTGGAGGGACATCCAACAGGTGTAGCAACATGTGGCGCGTACACGTCAAGCACAAAAAGCAGGTGACAGTGAAGGGGGGATTTGACCCGAACTCTGACCTCGTCGGGGGACATGCCGCCCTGGACGCCGGCTCACGCTCCCGGAAAAAGCTGGACGGTTACTTCTGAGCAGGGGGGACTCTGAGAGCATGTACAGGAAGTGAGCGGATAATCCGTGAATGCAAAGTACTTTCGATGCGAGCTCTTTAAAAAGCAAATCCTTGCGTTCTCAGGTAAAACTGCACTCCGAGGCCCAACCTGGCCACCCAATCTTTGACTCTTGTCCGAACTAGTCTATGTCCAAGTGGAATTCAAGGGGCAGGAGGCTTAATTCACTTTCAATCCGCCTGTGGAAATTCCCATGTGAGAGTTGTTCTAAACCCCCGCCTCTTGACCATAGACTGACAGCGCACTTTAAAATTTTGATTCAGGTTTGGGACCTGCTCCAAACACGGCGCGGCGCAAGCGCGCGCAAGGGCGAGCGCAAGGGAATAAGCAGTGTATAGGCTACCTAGGTTAAGATGGTCTACTTTGTGTAAAGTCCGTTGCCGTACAAGCTTGTGGTCATAAGTTCACCTACACTCGCCCAGCTGCTGCAGTCAAGTACGGTGACTTGACGAGTAGCATAGTCATGGCAAGGGTCTAGCCGTCAACGCCGCCGCCCCGCATTTGCCAAGTGGGCACGTGTCGTTCTGATTCGGTCGGCATGGAGAATTGCAGAAGAGCATCTCACAAGCCTGCCTGGGAACCTCGGAAAAAATACGTAAACATACCGGACATCGCGCGCAAGCAACGCGCAAGCTCCGAGAAAGGTCGGCGCAAGGTGGGCCCCCACATGTGAGCCATGGCCCAAACCGACCTCCAAACTGCTTTTGTTCTTGTCTCTGTACACTTCCACGACATCTTACCCCCAACCCTTGAAAGCGTATTCCAGCGATTCTTTGCCTCTTGTTGGAAAGCCTCTGGGTTGCGACTTGGTTTGTGGGACGAGGTTCGCACTCGTGCCGAGGTACGAG